GGGAATCCTTTGTTGAGGGGTGTTTAGGTGTTCCTGATTGTTTCCTATCTGGAGTTCCCCTGTGTTTGAGTTTTGTTCTTGATTTACTGTTATAATTTTAGAGTTTTATTTAATACTGGTAGCAAGATTTTGTTCATTTTCATGGTTTCCTTCTTTCTGTTGAAATTGTCCATATGCTTGTGGATTTCGATGGCTTCTCTGTGTAGCCTGACATGGTAGTTGTGAGAGTGGTCCAGCATTTCTGTGTTCTTAAATAATATGCCGTGTCCAGGTTGGTTCATCAGGTGCTCTGCCATGGCTGACTTCTCTGGTTGAAGTAGTCTGCAGTGCCTTTCATGTTCCTTGATTCGTGTCTGGGCATTGCTGCGTTTGGTGTACACTTGTCTACAGCTGCATGGTATAAGGTAGACTCCTGCAGCAGTGAGAGGATCCCTCTCGTCCTTTGCTGAACGTTGGATTTTCTTAGTGGGTCTGTAGATAGTTTGTATGTTCCCTATGCGGTCAGTGGTTCCCTTGATGTATGACCAGAACACCTTTCCTCTGGGTGGATCTTTGCCTTTACTCTCATGGCTTGTTCTCGATCTTGCAGCTCTTCTGATGTCTGTGGTGGAGTATCCATTGGCCTTATATATCTGGACTTTCCACAGATATATAAACCCCATTTTCCTAGCTTCCAACAGACCTCATAACCTCTGAGGATGCCTGCCATAGATGGAGGCAAAACGTCAGGAGAGAATGCCTCTAGAACATGGCCATACAGCCCAAAAAACCCACAACAACCCAGTGATTCCAGCCATGAAAGCCTTCGGCAATACATTTAAAGAAGGTTTTTAAGATCAAGTCAGGGAGGTGTCGTGGTTTTAGTTTAGTTTTTTTAAAAAAGTTTTGAATATGTTTTTATGGATGTATGTGTATACATCCATAAAAATCTATCTATAAAAAATCTATCTATAAAAATCCATGTATCTCTTATAAGGGGCTGGTTCAACCTCATGTCACCAACACGAAATGTTTGGAAATATCTGTTTTAACAGATACATTACAGCAAAAATTCATGATGCAGCTAGACAGAAACTGATGATGTCCTGTTGGAGCCTTATCTGTGTTGCATATCGGCTCAAGGTAGAGAGAACTTTACACATGGGGGGAAATATTTGGCAACACTCATTTTAACGCTACAATTTCCCCTAAACAAAAAATAAAATGCAAGAATTCAATGACTACAGGCATATCAACACTGACTACTACGTAACATGGATTGAAATTATATCAAAAGTATGCAAATGTGTGCAGAAACACAAATGAGTGTACTTTAGATTCTTTAAACCAGAATAAGCAAAACTGTAGGATTTTCCAAAATAGGCCCCGTAATGTGCATCAGCGCATTATGGGGTCTATTCTGAAATATCCCACCACATAACATGGCAAAATGGATCAAGGGACAGGCACTTTGACCATCCATCTTAAATGATCGGTGTAGATATGCCTGTAATCATAGAACCTTTGCTATTTTTAAAGGGGAAGTGATAAGAAACCCCAAATCCTCCATGGTCATGTAAGGTGATAGATGTATACAGCAAAAACTGGTCAATGCAAAGGGCAGTTTTTTAGTCTTTCCCAGGATTCCAAAGCCTTGAGCCAGGGCAGTTAAGAGTTGCAATGATTGAGACCTTGTAAAACTACAACTCCCAGGATTCCATTGCCTTGAGTCAGGCCAGTTAAGAGTTGCAATGATTCAAAAGATCTTGCAAAACTACAACTCCCAGAATTCCATAGCCTTGAGCCTGGGCAGTTGAGAGCTGCAATGATTCAGAAAGACCTCGCAAAACTACAACTCCCTGGACACCATAACCTTGAGCCATGCATTGACTCTTAAAACAAACCTTGCAAAACTACACTGCCCAGGATCCCATTGCCTTGACGCAGGGCAGTTATGAGTTGCGATGCTTCAAAAGACCTTGCAAAACTGTACTCCGAGGATTCCATAGCCTTGAATCAGGGTAGTTAAGAGTTGCAATGATTCAAAACACCTTGTAAAACTACAACTCCCAGGATTCCTTAGCCTTGAGCCCCAAAAGACCGTGCAAAACTACAACTCCCAGGATCCCATCACATTGAGCCATACAAACTCTGAAAACCATGTAAAACTAAAACTCCCAGGATCCCATAGCCTCTAGTCAGGGCAGTTAAGAGTTGCAAGACTTGCAAAAACTACAACTCGCAGGATACCATAACCTTGAGCCATACAGGATACCGTAGCCTTGAGCTGGGGCAGTTAGAGTTGCAATGATTCAAAACACCTTGCAAAACCACAACTCCCAGAATTCCATAGCCTTGATCCTGCAAAACTTTGTAAAAACTACAACTCCCAGGATTCTATAGCCTTCAGCCTGGGCAGTTAGGTGTTGCAATGATCCATAAAGACCTTGCAAAATTACAACTCCCAGGATCCCATAACCTTGAGCCATCCATAGACTCTAAAAAAAACCCTTGCAAAACTACAACTCCCAGGATTCCATAGAGCCTGCAAAACTAGTACTCTCAGGACCCCATAACCTTGAGCCATGCATTGACTCTAAAAAAATCTTGCAGAATTACAACTCCCAGGATTCCATAGCCTTGAGCCAGGGCAGTTGAGAGTTGCAATGATTCAAAAGACCTTGTAAAACTACAATTCCCAGGATCCCACAACCTTGAACCTGGGCAATTAACATTACAATTATTCCAAAGACCCTGTAAAACTACAATTCCCAGTATTCCACAGCCATGAGCCAGGACAGTTAGAATTGCATTGATTCAAAGACCTTGCAAAACTACAACTCCCAGGATTCCACAGCCTTCAGCCTGGGCAGGTAAGAATTGCAAATGATTTAAAAGACCTTGCAAAACCATAACTCCAAGGATTCCACAGCCTTGAGCCTGAGCAATTAACGTTACAATGATTCCAAAGACCCTGTAAAACTACAGTTCCCAGTATTCCACAGCCTTGAGCCGGGGCAGTTAGAATGGCATTGATTCAAAAGACCTTGCAAAACTACAACTCCCAGGATTCCATAGCCTTGAGCCTGGTCAGTTAAGAGTTGCAATTATTCCAAAGACCTAGCAAAACTACAACTCCCAGGATCCCACAGCCTTGAGCCTGGGCAATTAACGTTACAATGATTCCAAAGACCCTGTAAAACTACAATTCCCAGGATTACATAGCCTTGAGCCTGAGCAAGAGTTGAAAGGATTCAAAAGACCTTGCAAAACTACAACTCCCAGGATTCTATAGCCTTGAGCCAGGGCAGTTAAGAATTGCAAATGATTCAAAAGACCTTGCAAAACTACAACTCCCAGGGTTCCACAGCCTTCAGCCTGAGCAGCTAGAGTTGCAAGGACTCAAAAGACCTTGCAAAACTACAACTCCCAGGATCCCATAACCTTGAGCCATGCATTGACTCTAAAAAAAACCTTACAAAACTACAACTCCCCGGACTCCATAGCCTGGAGTCTGCAAAACTACAACTCCCAGGACCCCATAACTCTGAGCCATGCATTGACTCTAAAACCTTGCAAAACTACAACTCCTAGGGTTCCACAGCCTTGAGCCTGGGCAGTTACGACTTGCAATGATTCAGAAAGACCTTGCAAAACTACAACTCCCAGGATCCCACAGCCTTGAGTGTGGGAAATTAACGTTACAATGATGCCAAAGACCCTGTAAAACTACAATTCCCAGTATTCCACAGCCTTGAGCCAGGACAGTTAGAATTGCATTGATTCAAAGACCTTGCAAAACTACAACTCCCAGGATTCCATAGCCTTGAGCCTGGGCAGTTAAGAGTTGCAAATGATTCAGAAAGACTTTGCAAAACTACAACTCCTAGGATCCCATAACTTTGAGCCATGTTTTGATTCTAAAAGACCTTGCAAAACTACAACTCCCAGGATCCCACAGCCTTGAGCCAGGGCAGTTGAGAGTTGCAAATGATTCAAAAGTCCTTGCAAAACTACAACTCCCAGGATCCCACAACCTTGAGCCATGCATTGACTCTAAAAAACCTTGCAAAACTACAACGCCCGAGATTCCACAGCCTTGAGCCTGAGCAGCTAGAGTTGCAATGATGCAAAAGACCTTGCAAAAGTACAACTCCCAGGATCCCATAACCTTGAGCCATGCATTGACTCTTAAAAAAAACTTGCAAAACTACAACTCCCAGGATGTCATAGCCCTGAGCCTGCAAAACTACAACTCCCAGGACCCCATAACGTTGAGCCATGCATTGACTCTAAAAAACCTTGCAAAACTACAACTCCCAGGATTCCGTAGACTTGAGCCTGGGCAGTTAGACTTGCAATGATCCAGAAAGACCTTGCAAAACTACAACTCCCAGGATCCCATAGCCTTGAGCCGGGGGGCGGTTAAGAGTTGAAATGATGCAAAGGACCCTGCAAAACTAGAACTCCCAGGATCCCATAACCTTGAGCCAGGCATTGACTAAAAAATCCTTGCAAAACTACAACTCCCCGGACTCCATAGCCTTGAGTCTGCAAAACTACAACTCCCAGGATTCCACAGCCTTGAGCCTGGGCAGTTGAGAGTTGCAAATGATTCAGAAAGATCTTGCAAAACTACAACTCCCAGGACGCCATAACGTTGAAAAAAATCTTGCAAAACGACAATTCCCGGGATTCCACAGCCTTGAGCCTGAGCAGCTAGAGTTGCAAGGACTCAAAAGACCTTGCAAAACTACAACTCCCAGGATCCCACAACCTTGTGCCGGGATAGTTAAGGAGTTGCTTGCATTCCGAAGGCCATGTCCAACTAACTTGCCTTCGGGACGCCTCTTTGGGGAGGGAGAGAGGGGGGAGTATTTTCCTCCTTCCTTTCCCTCCTTCCTTCCTTCTTTCCCTGGCAGCACGCGCCCTCGGCCTGCAGGGTGCAGGCGTCAGCTAAGGCGGCGGTGGCAGCAACAGCAAGAGAGGCAGAAGCAGCAAAAGCAGGGAGAGGGGGAGAGGGAGGAGGAGGAGGAGCCAGGGCCGGCCTCCTTCCCTTCGCCTCTCGAGTCCATTTCCCCAGCTCTAGTGACACCAACGCACCAGGCGAGCGCCGCTGCCCTTGCTGCTTCTCCTCCTCCTCCAGGATCTTACAAACCTCCTCGTCGGTGGCGCCTCCTTCTCTTCTTCTTCCTCCTCCTCCTCCAAAGAAGAAGAGCAAGGGAAACTCCAGCTTGGAAAGAAGGGAGGAGGAGAAGGAGGGGAGGGGGGGGGGCAAGGCAAGCACCACGCCAGCTTCCTGCTTGCAAAGAAGAGGGGAGGGGGGGAAAGAGAGAGAGAGAGAGAGAGAGCAAAGGCGACGCTGAAGCAGCCAAAGGTAAGCTTGTGGGCAAAGAGTGGCTTGGTTGGAAGAGGGAGAGGGTGTCCTTCCTGAACCCCAATATGTCTTCCCTCTTTTCAGCCTTGTATATGTATGTATATATCTATTTTTCCAGCTGTCTCCACCCTCCTTGCCCCGTCCCATCGCAGCTGTTCCTGTCACTGCCAACGTTGCAAATCTGAAGATTTGGGGAGGGTTCCCCCCTTTTCCCACCCTTTTCCCACCCTCCCCTTCTCTTTTCCATGGAGGGATTTCATATGGAGAGCAATCCCTTCTCTCCCTGTTTTTCCCCCCTCCCTCTCTCTCTCTCTCTTCCTTTAATCTCATCACTTACTCTTCTCTTTCTCCCCCTCCTCCCCCTGCTTGGCATTAACCTATATATGTATCTATATATCTATATGTTCTGCCTCTCCAGTAATGGAGAGAGAGAGAGAGTGCTTTAAAGGAGGGGCAAAAAAATAAAAGGGGGAGGAGGAGAAAAGAGAGAGAAAAAAGAGAGAGAGAGAGACAGCTCTGTAGTTGTAGACACTTCCCTTTTAAAAAAAATATGTGTGTATGTGTGTTTTTCCTGGTTTGTTTACTGCGCTGCTCAAGAGATTGGTGCCAACTTGGGGTTTGCAGGGAAATATATATAAAGGGCTTGGACGGGAGTTGTTGTGCCAACTTGAGGTTTCAAAATATGTCAAAGATATAAACACACATGCACATGTGTATATGTATATGTATATATATATGCACACACACTTATGTATATAAGTGCACACTTATATACATGTGTGTGCACACTTATGCACACAGACATATATATCTGTGTATATATGTCTATACACACATATATGCACACACACATCTGTATATATAGGCACACAGACATATATATGTATGTATATATATATACACACACATATATATGCACACACACATCTGTATATATATGCACACACAGACATATATATCTGTGTATATATATCTATACACATATATATGCACACACACATCTGATTATATATAGGCACACAGGCATATATATGTATGTATATATATACACACACACATATATATGCACACACACATCTGTATATATTGGCACACAGACATATATATGTATGTATATATATATGTATGTATATATACACACACACATATATGCACACACACATCTGTATATATAGGCACACACAGTCATATATATGTGTGTGTATATGTGTATGTCTATATAAATAAAAATGTAATGCTCGTTTGTGGGATTAACATAACTCAAAAACACTGGAAGAAAAACTATATCTATACACACACACATATATATGCACATACAGACATATATATATATGTATATATACATAATACACACAGATATATGCACACACATATTTGTATATATATGCACACACAGATATATGCGTGTGTGTATATATGTATATATATCTATATACACATATATGCACACACATACATATATGTGTATGTATATCAATATAAATAAAAATGTAATGCTCGTTTGTGGGATTAACATAACTCAAAAAACACTGGAGGAAAAACTATATCTATACACACACACATATATATGCACACACATATTTGTGTATATATGCACACACAGATATATATGTGTGTGTGTATATATGTATATATATATCTATCTATATACACATATATATGCACACACATACATATATATGTGTGTATATCGATATAAATAAAATGTAATGTTTGTTTGTGGGATTAACATAACTCAAAAAACACTGGAGGAATTGTGTATATATATGTACCTATATATATATCTATATACACTCACATATATATGCACACACATATATATGTGTGTATGTATATCGATATAAATAAAAATGTAATGTTTGTTTGTAGGATTAACATAACTCAAAAAACACTGGAGGAATTGACACCAAATTTTACACAAGACACCTATCAGGCCAACAAGTGACCATCACTCATGAAAACACTGAAAAACACAACAGAAGAGGCTTAAAAAGCAAAAAAATACATTGCAACACATGTGCAAAACCACATACACACATATATACACAAATATATATACACATATATACACATACAAAACACATATACACTGACTGGGCCACAGCAACGCATGCCAGGGAACGGCTTGTGTGTGTGTGTGTGTATACACACACACATATACACAAACACATAGGACTGGGATTTGAGTTAGACCCCCTCCCTTGCACATTCCCTTCTGGAATTAAACATTGCACTGTGTTGTCAAAGGCTTTCATGGCCGGAATCACTGGGTTGCTGTGAGTTTTCCAGGCTGCATGGCCATGTTCCAGAAGCATTCCCTCCTGACGTTTCACCCGCATCTTTGGCAGGCATCCTCAGAGGTTGTGATGTGAGTTGGAAACTAAGCAAGTGATGTTTATATATCTGTGGAAGGTCCAAGGTGAAAGAAAGAAATATTGTGGGTTGGAGGTAAGTGTGAATGTTGCGATTCACAGGGAGGAATCAGCCAGGCTTTGAAGCTGCAAGGCTATTCAATGCTCATCAAGGTGATTAATTGCCACATTCACACTTGCCTCCAGCAGACAAGAGTTCTTTCTCCCATCCTGGACCTTCTACAGATATATAAACCTCACTTGTCTAGTTTCCAACAGATCTCAAAACCTGATGTGCACCATAAATGTGGGCGAAATGTCAGGAGAGAATGCTTCTGGAAGTTGGCCATACAGCTTGGAAAACTCACAGCAATCCAGAGATTCTTGCAACTGCCAAGGATATATATGCTTTTTAGGTTGGATTCATATCTTCCCTCGTCTTCCCCCCCGTTTATGAATCTTTTCCTTCATGTTTGCAATTGTTATTATTGTTGTTACTGTTTTAAAAAGGAGTTGCAAAGGTTAGGAAAGTAGTTTTGACATTGGCCAGAGGAGTTTGGGAAAGGGGAGGGTGTTTTCTCACTTGGCGTTGGAAAAGCGGGAGAAATATGAGTAAATATTTTCTTTAAAAATAAGGACGTTTGGCATGTGGCTGGCGGATCACAAGCCTGGTTTTGGGCAAAGGGAGGGGGACAAGGGGGACGGCATAGTATTCCTTCGGCGTTGGCAGCAGGGCCCTTTTTCCGGTGGAGCTGGATTTAACTTTGCATGTTCCATTCTCTCTCCCCAGAGGGAAGGGGCTGTGGGCTCACCCTCTTGGCTTGATCCWCGAGAAGTGTTGGGGGGAGGAAAYGGGGACACCCTCCCTTGCAGCAGGGATCCTGTCCTTGAAGGAAAGAAGGAAGGAAGGGGGGGMTCAGAGGGGCGACAACATTGGGAACACTTCTGCTGCTGTCACAGTGACAGCTGTCCACGGTGGGACACCCGCCTAGGCCGGGGGGGGGGGGGTTAATCCGAGCTGCTAATGCGTCCTGCGGGTGTTTGGAAAAAAAAAAATCCAAAAGCCGTGAGATGTCTCTAAATGCTTTTGACCCTCAGTTAGATGCTTAATTTTTTTAGAAGGGTGCCACGGCAAAGAGAGATGCACATGTGGCTCTGTATTCTTACCTCTGTTGATGTCCACGACGGCTCAGCCAACGTGCAAGTTTTTGCACGCATCTGGAGGAACTGCAACAGTGCAAAAGCTGTCGCCGTTGTCAACATTGCCCTGTTTCACTCCATCTCCTCGCTTGTTTAGAAATGTTTTTGCAATATTATTATTTTTAAAATCGTGTTTGCAGTGGAAATCCACTCCCCACCCACCCATATTCTCTCCTTTCTTTCTTTCTTTTATTAATATAAAATATATTTATAATATAATGCAATATAATACTAATACCAATAATATGATATTATCTATATAAATAAAAATGTAATGTTCATTTGTGGGATTAACAGAACTCAAAAACCACTGAGGGAATTGACACCAAATTTGGACACAAGACACCTAACAACCCAATGTATGTCCTTCACTGAAAAAAAAATTGATTTTGTCATTTGGGAGTTGTAGTTGCTGGGATTTATAGTTCACCTATAATCAAAGAGCATTCTGAACCCCACCAACGATGGAATTGAACCAAACTTGGCTCACAGAACTCCCATTACCAACAGAAAATACTGGAAGGGTTTGGTGGGCATTGACCTTGAATTTTGGAATTGTAGTTCACCTCCATCCAGAGAACACTGTGGACTCAACCAATTATGGATCTGGACCAAACTCTACACGAATACTCAATATGCCCAAATGTGAACACTGGTGGACTTTGGGGGAAATAGACCTTGACATTTGGAAGTTGTAGTTGCTGAGATTTGTAGTTCACCTACAATCACAGAGCATTTTGAACCCCACCAACGATAGAATTGGGCCAAACCTCCCACACAGAACCCCTATGACCACCAGAGTGGGCCACAGCAACGCATGGCAGGGAACGACTAGTCGATATATATAAAAATGTAATGTTCGTTTGTGGGATTAACAGAACTCAAAAACCACTGAGAGAATTGACACCAAATTTGGACACAATACATCTAACATCCCAATGTATGTCGTTCACTCATAAAAACACTGAAAAACACAGCAGAAGGGACTTAAAAAGCCCCAAAAACCTAAATGATGAAAAGCTAAATGACAATACAGAAAAAAGGAAGAAAGAGGGAGGGAAGGGGAGAAAAGAAAGAAAGGGAGAAGGAAGCATTAAAGCAAGGAAAGAAGGAAGGAAAGAGGTAGAGAAGGAAGAAAGGAGAAAAAGTGGGAGGGAAAGAAAAAGGGGGAAGGAAGGAGAGAAGGAAAGAAAAAAGGGAAAGAAGGAAGGAAAGAGGGAGCAAAGGAAGGGGGGAAGATGTAAAGAAAGAGGGAGGGAAGGAAAGAAGGAAAGAGATAGAGAAGGGAGGAAGAAGAGAAGGAAAGATGGGAAGGAAGGAATGAAAGAGGGAGTGAAGGAAGGAGGGAAAGAAGGAGAGAAAGAGGGAAGGTTATTACTAGCTGTACCTGCCAGCAACGCGTGGCAGGTACAGCTAGTAATTATATAGTTTATATTACATGTAATATTA